TACTCCTATCTTAGAGATCGGTAGAGGAAGTAAATTGTGAGATGTGTCATATTTAACTAGGCACAAACTCATACCTCTTTTTTTTTTTTTTTTTAAATATTTATTTTGGTCATCGAACTCTATACCCTATGATTGCTAGTAAAACAAAACTTATATATTTATTTTGCGTTGGTTAACCAGTTGAATTGTGGCCGAAGGCGAATTAGACATATATGTTGATGTAATGATGCAATAGGAGGATGTGTCAAATTCAAAATCGTTATACCCTGCACCACGGCGCGCATAGCACTGTCCGTCCCGCGCCTTCCAATACGACGTCGTTTTGGTAAGTTATTTAGGGAGTTGACGCGATTATGTGTATTTGTTTATACAATTATGTGTATTTATTTATACAATTATGTACATTTTTTATACAATCATATACATCTTTTTTATACAATTATGTACATCCGAAACAGAAAATTTATGTGTATTATGTTAAAAGTTGATGTTTATTATGTTAAAAGTTTATGTATATCATGTATTATGTTAGATTATATCTATTATCTTTTTAAAAAAAAGTATGTGTATTTTGTTATACAATTATGTACATTCATGTATACAATTATATGTATTCTAGTATATAATTATGTACATTTTTGAACCTGAGATTTTTTTTTTAAAGAAAATTAGCCACCAACAAAGGATAACGAAATTTCAAAAAATAAAAATAAAAAATCTGAAACGACGTCGTTTTGTATCAAGGCGCACAATGCGATGCGCACCCTGGTGTAGGATATAAAATGCCTGTCAAATTGGAAAAAATTTATTCGGCTTAAAAGGTTTATTTATTGTACTTGAAGTTGAAGCCCAAAATCATATGGGCTATTTGAGCCTTATCCCTGGTTTTGCAATCGTTATATCCTACACCACGGCGCACATAGCACTATGCGTCGCGCGCCTCTTAAAATGACGTCGTTTTGGGTAGTGTTGGGAGGTGCGGTAGGAAGTTGCTGAGATTATGTGTATTTGTTCACAACGTTATGTGTATTTGTTCACAACGTTATGTGTATTGGTTCATACAGTTATGTATATTTTTTATACAATTATGTACATTCTTTTTATACAATTATGTACATCCGAATCAGAAAATTTGTGTGTATTATGTTAAGAGTTGATGTGTATTATGTTAAAAGTTTATGTTTATTATGTATTATGTTAGATTATGTGTATTATCTTTTAAAAAGAGTATGTATATTTTGTTATATAATTATGTACAGTCATGTATAACATTATGTGTATTCTAGTATAACATTATGTACATTCTTGAACAGCGGTTTTTTTTTTAAAGAAAAAACTACTGCCATTCACTGGGGCGGGAAATTTCAAAAAAAAAATAATTAAAACGACGTCGTTTTGCATCTGGGCGCATAGTGCAACGCGCGCCATGGTGTAGGATATAAATTGCCCTGGTTTTGGGAAGTTCTCATTGGTATTTTTCAAAGTGCAGCCCAAATGCATTTACGTATCGTTGAGGGCAAATTATTTTATGGACCATGGTCCACACAATATCAGGTACATTTTTAATATATTAAAAGTACATTATTGTTGTACTGATGGTACATTATATAAAATAATGTACCTTTAGTGTATTAAAAATGTACTTTCAGAAAATGTACCTTACGTACATAAATGATATACCCTTAGTATATTAAAAATGTACTTTTTATTTATGGTCCACACAATTGTGTGGACCATGGTCCATGCAATAATGATTGATCATTGAGGCACACATTTCAAGTTACGGATCGTTATGCTGTGGAACCATGTCCACCTTGCAAGGTAGACACAGTTCTATGTTCATAATTACTGAACTATATGTTCATAATTATAAAGCTATATATTCATACTTTTTGAACTTCATATTCATAATTATTGAACTCTATATTCACAATTACAGAACTCTATATTCATAATTACTGAACTATATGTACATAATTATAAAGCTATATATACATAATTTTTGAACTTCATATTCAAAATTATTGAATCTCTATATTCATAATTACAGAACTATATTCCATAATTATGTTCACAACTCTATGTTCATAATTATAAAATTATATGTTCATAATTTTTAAAGTATATATTCATAATTATGAACAGTTTTGGAACCGTGTCCACCTTGCAAGGTGGACACGGTTCCACAGCTTAATTTGTCTCAAATTACTGTCTCCACAGTTGTGTGAACCACAATTCAAAAGGAATTCATTTTGATGTTAAAAAGAATTCCTTGCTTCACGCGCGTATTAGAATAATGAACATTTTGGGGGTAAGATAATATATTTTATGAGTTCGAATAATGTACTTTATGTATTAGAATAATGTATTTTATATGTGTTAGAATAATGAAATTTTTGGAGTAAAATAATGTATTTTATGAGTTAGAATAATATATAATGTATTTCATATGTGTTAGAATTATAAAATTTCTAGGGTAAAATAATATATTTTATGAGTTAGAATAATATACTTATGTATTAGAATAATGTATTTAATGAGTTAGAATAATATACTTTATGTGTGGTAGATAATACCATTCATATAGCTATGTGGAACATGGTCCACTCAATAATGATTGTGTAATGCTAGTTGAATCTTTGTTCAAATTCTATCTGTTTAACTAGTGAATTTTTTAATTTTTTGGAAAACTATAGAATTCGATTATTGGAGAATAGAAAACAAATTTAAACATGTTTACTAGTAGCACAACAAAATTAGACAACTAGAGAATTGTTCAAATTTTAAAAATTTAACAACAAAAATAAACAAGAAAAACTAAAAATAAAAAATAAAAATAAAAAAAGAAGCTGGTTGTTGTAACGGCTATATATATATATACTAGTTTTTTACGCGCATTGCGCGATTGGGATAATGCCTAATGCTTTTTTTTTTTTTTTTAAATAAGTACTTTAAAGTATATTAAGGCAAGATTATATTGAAATTGTTCATGCATAGATAATTGAAGGTTGAATTTGCGTATTTAAATAGGTAATTCTTCTTCCAAAGGTTGAGTCCTGAACCCCAAGGCCCCCCCACACTCCGACCCGACAGAGCATTGTGGGAAGTTGTAAATCACGGTGACTCAATGGTTCAGCAGACAGGGCCAAATGCTGATACGCACAAGGAATCTGCCTACTTTGAACATAATTCCCGCATTGCCGCCGCCGAGGTTCAAACCTTGGTCTCTTCTCCCAAATACTACCCACTAAACCATTGAGCTAAGCCCGTGCGGGTTAAATAGGTAATTCTAAGTTTACAAATGCAAGATAATATAGTCAATATTGATTAGAATTGTCAATAAAATAATTGTATAGGTATGGTTGAAATCAAATACGGGACATGCATAAGGGAGAACAAATAAAAATTAGGGCATAAAATATTAAATATATACTAATATTGTTTGAGGAGATTCCGACATTAGGATTTGTGGTTAAGTTCTATTAAGACTTTTTATTAGAATTAGATTAATGGTGTAGTTATAATTCTATATTAGACTTTAATATTAGAATTAGACTAACGGTGAATTAACGGAAAATTTAAATGGATAATCATATAATTAAGGATAAATTAGAAAATCTTAAAAGAAAAAAATTAAAACCTGAACAATATGAACCATTCATTTGATTTAATAATTTGGCGGTCATTTTTTCTACCCAATGTTAATAATTAAATAAGGTCAAATCCGCTAGTATAATCCGCTAACGCTAACCGCTAACTGCTAATTGTCAAACAAGGACATTGCGAGGTAGTTCTCACTTCAATTTGTTGTGTGATTTGAATACTCTCTTTGTCACAAAATCTCTCAAGTAGTTAATATGGTTGGCTTTATTTAATTATATTTTTAAAATTTTTTCATGGTATTAATAAAATACTTGGTAAATAAATATATAGCATTATTTTATGTTATAACTTTGATATTTAATTAGAAAAATAGTGCACAAAAAAGATAATAGATAATATAGTGAATATAATCAATTGATGAATTTGAATGTAAAAATTTTTACATTTGAGAAAAATAAAGACAATATAACTAATGAAAATATTTCTTTTAATTAATTTATTGATAATTAATAATTTGTTTTTCACTGAATAAAGACATTGTAAGGACAATGTAGCGAATATAATCAATTAATAAATTTGAATATAAAGAATTTTTATATTGAAGAAAAATAAAGACAATATAACTAATAAAATTATTTATCTTATTTAATTTATTGATAATGAATAATTTTTTTTTTGAATAAAGACATTGTAGACACATAATTCTAAATTAAAGAAATGCATATGTATTATTTTTTGTTGTAACTACTAAATTATTATTTATATAATTTAATAAGAGTAAAATAGAGTACTAATTATGTCAACTTTGATTGAGATGAGGTTCGAACCTAAGACCTTTTTTTATTAAAATCAATGAGTAAGTTAACGGTGAACTAACGGCAATTCTTAAAATTTTAACGGAATTAGTAACGGTGTGTGGGTATTTTAGAAAATTTTAGTGTAAAATTTAAATCTGATCAATCTTTTAATCAATCTGAGCCATTCATTTGATTAAAATATGTGACCGCCATTTTTTATACCCATTATAGGCCTAACTCTCTTGGGCTCTTATTAGTATAGTAGATAGTAGATATATCTTCTACATCTTCTACAATTTTTCTACAATTTTAATAAGAGCCAATAATGTTAGACCCTTAACGGGAACTAAAAAAATGTCGGTACAATAGTATGTTATAAAAGATTGTACTTTGTGTTCTTCGTATTGTACAATGTCCAATTAAATTCCTAATCTATCCTCATCCTTTTTAATTTTACTAAATAATTCTGTCAAATTAAACAGAAACTGTTAAGTTGAAGTAGCGGTGGTAATTTTGTAATTTTGATGAAATTGGATGGCAGTTTGTACTTAAAAGAAATTAAGGCAGTTTGTTGAGGTGCGGATATAATGCACCAGAGAACAAAAGAGGGAAGAACAGAACAGAATTGCAAGACGAAGAAGAAGAAGATCAGAGTTCGCAAGAGGAAACGACATCATTCTGATTATTGCCGCTTCTACCGATTCCAATCTTCTTCCGCCTTTTTTTTTTTTTTTTTTTCCTTCTGTTTCCTCGGGTGTTACAGCCAAGCTTCAATTTTTCATCATTCTGTAGGCGCCGAAGAGGTATGTAACGTTGAAAAGTTAGCGGTCTGTTTTTGTTTGTTTTTGCCACTTGGACTTCACACCAAGTGTTTGAGTTATTGTTTTTTTTTTTTGGATACTATTAGATGTTGTCTTTGCAAAAAATGTAATTAGTATAATGAATCTGATGTTTTGGTGGTTCTTTGCAAAAAATGTAATTCAGTGAGCAATATTCTTTCACTGTTTCCCTTATATAATTTTGTGACATTATCACTTCATGTTTTCTTGCACTAACTCTTAGATGAAGATGTTGAAATCTTATATCGTGAAAGCTGCTTTTAGAAACCATGGCTATAATCTTTTCCAGTTCATTCCACAGGTAATGTTGTGCCTTGAACCTTATCTTCTGTGGATGCATCTTTATTAATATTGTTAATTATATTGCTTTCCTAGAGGGGGGTGCACATCAGAAACAAGGAGGCAACAGAGTGGATGTAAGAACAATAGTATTTTTGTTGTCTTTGCAAGTAGATCTTGCACTCAAGTTAGCTAGCTATATAGTTGTCTATATTTGATGTTGTTGTTGAAAACTTGGGTTTCGTCTATAATTCCTTGTGCTTGCTACCTAGGAAGAATGGATTAAGTCGCTGACCGATTTCTTGTGCTTGCTTTCTAGGAAGGCTAGACAACGGGGTGCAACCATTCAGCAAAAGTATTTATGCAAAAAGGTCATTGATCTTCTAAATGTGTGTTTAGATGTCCGAGTCTTCAGTTTTCTACACCACATTTGCGGTGATGCTGTGACAAAAAGCTCCCTGATTATATCCCTTTTAATTTTATTCTTGACTTTTTTAGGAAGCTTGGAACAAGTTCAACTAAGAAGAGAGGTAGGCAGTAGCCAAGTCATCAAGCCGGCTATAGTGTTGCTGCAACTGTTGTAATTTTATACCATTTCTAAGTCAGGGTTTGTTCCCCTTTGCCGATCTTTTACAAATCTTTACACTTTAGCTTTGTGAATGTAAGCTCCAAGAAATTTGAATTTTAAACATATTTCAGCTCCTACTATATAAAGAGGTAGTAACTCTATTTTTATATTAAAAAAAAATAGTAACTCTATTTGTAAATTATCCTTCACTTTGCATTTTCTATTATAATTATAATTGCATTAGAAAATATTAAAGTTTTAATAGGTTTTTAGAATATAATACAAATCTTTATAGAATTCTAACATATAATTAGAATATTGAAGTCTTAATAAGTTTTCAGAATACAAATGTTTATAAAATTTTAACTTAAAATTAGAATATTGTAGTCTTAATAGAATTTTTAGCATACAAATCTTTATAGAATTCTAACTTATAATTAGAATATTGAAATCTTAATTGGATTTTAGCATACAAATCTTTATAGAATTCTAACTTATAATTAGAATATTGAAATCTTAATAAGATTATAGAATATGACTTCAAAAATAGAATACAATACAAATCGTTATAGAATTCAATAACTTCTAATTAGAATATTCAAATCTTAATAGGGTTTTAGAATACACATCATCTTTATACAATTCTAAATTATATTTATAATAGTGAGTCTTAATAGGAATTTAGATTTAGAATACAAATATTCACTGCATGCATTGTGGTGAAATGACTACGGTGGGAACACCATGTTTAGTAACAATTTTTATATACATTTTATTTAGAATAAGGTAAGTGTCAATTTAATCATTAAAAAAAAAAACAAAATACAACAATGCTAATCTAAAAAAACATAATAGGTGTAAACTGGACGTGGAAATTATTGATGGAAGTGGATGCCTTGTTGCATTCGTGTTTGGGAAATGTGGAACAACTGTTACTCTTAACCAGCAAACAAGTTATGCAATTGGAACAATAGGTACTGCTCCTCTGCCAACCACAAACAGTCATGTTTTACATTAAATTAACCTATGACTAACTACATATGCATTTTGCAGGGTCAACAGTTAAGAATTGAACATATCAATAACCGCTTACAAGATGAAGAATCAATCCTATACCCAAGAAAGCAAAAACATGGTATCATATACCATAACATCATTGGATGAATCATTCTCATTCACTACCACCAGTAAATAAGATACAATAAAGACACAACCATCAAAAATGAAACTCAACTTCAAGACAATTTCGAGCCTCAACAAACGCGCACTAAGAAAAATTAATTTACTCTACTCAAATTAGTACTTTTTATCCAACTATTTTCTTCCGGTGGTTAATCATAATAGATAATCAGCTTTAATTAGTGGTTTATTTGTTTTTACCTACGTTAGTTATAATTTAGCTATTTACAATATCTTTATCTTTTATTAAAATATAAGCACCGTACTATTTCTTTATCTTTTATTAATTTAGCATTTCTCTCTCTCTCATTATTATATAAATACTTTAATCAATTGAGAAACACTAATTTAAAAATACACATTGGGAATTGGTCTAACCGCGCAAAGCGCGTGTGATAACTAGTATATATATATATATATATATATATATATATATATATATATATATATATATATATATATATATATATATATATATATATATATATAGGGAAGGGTTCAAGTGCGGGTATAGCTTCCCGTGCGGTTGTGCGGTTAGATCTGAGCCATTGATCAAATCTAAATCAATGGCTCAAATCAATGAAATTTTCTTTTTTAAAAAACGCGTGTTTGGAAGAAAGCCACGCACCTTAACTGTTAACTCACGCACATTAAGTACAAACTCATGCACATTAAGTACAAAATCCACGCACATTGTTGGACAAGAAGACACACTTTTGGTAGACGCTTTTGGTTTTGGTAGACGCTTTTGGTCATTTAGACGTGCTGCATGCTTCTTCATCCAACACACATTAAGCACAAAACCCACCACTTCAAATATTAACTCACGGACTTTAAGTTTCAACAACTCTGACATTAAGCACAAACTCACACACATTAAGTATAAAACTCACGCACATTAAGCACAACCTCACGCACATTAAGCACAAAACCCACACACTTTAAGTATTAACTCACAGACTTTAAGTTTTAACAACTACTCACGTTAAGCACAACCCCACGCACATTAACCACAAACCTCACGCACCTTACGCACAAAACTCACGCATCTTATATACAAAACTCACGCGCATTAATCACAGATCCGCTCACCTTAATTTTGACCTAGATGCAAAAATTATAAAATTGCCACCGTGTCTTTTTTTAAAATTTTGGTAATCCTGGACGTTGATTTAAGCGAGATGAATGGCCCAGATTAAACCGTACAACCGCACCTGGACACCCTAACAGCACCAGAACCTAATTCTATATATATATAAACAAACTTCATTTCAGCTGGTGACCACTCTGAAGCGCTCCAGCAATGGCCTGTTAGGACGACCATGCGCTCAAGCAATTTTTTTTCCTGACACAAACCATTCATTTGCAGGAGAAAAATTTATCCAAAATCTTCTTCTCTCATCAACCAAAAACCCATGCTCAGTTTTTGTTTACCTTGCATAAACCACAAAAAAGTACACTAATGGGGATAATACTCTAAGATTTTAATTTGGGAGTCTACTCTCTCTTTCCTTAAAACAAATTGAGAAATATACTTAATTTTAAGATTCAATTAATAATAATATTTAGTTATTGGCATGACACTTCCTATAATGCGTATACTCCTAACTCATATAATTATAATAATAAACTTAATTTGATCACAAAAAATCTACAAATAAATACTTAAATTATTTAAAACGAAATGGATAGCTTTTACTAACTCAATAATCTTTGTCGGCTAAGTGAAGGGTGCATTGATTGTTATAGAATTATAGAAAACCTAAACAAAAATGAAAATGATTTGCTAAAGGTGTGGACTGAAGATAAATTAAAATAATACCACGTGAAATGTGCTTATTAGGCAAACATCATTGAACAAAACTTGCCAATCTAAGATCTACAATTCCTAGTTTGTGGATTGTGATGTGGTCTCTCTGTTCCTCGTTACAAAAACATTATATAGTACAATTTACACACACACACATTTGTGGATTGTGATGTGGTTAAATTATCTAACCTTTGATAACCTTTTTCTATAGTAATACTAGTTACCATGCATGTATTTGCGCGAATAGTGCAATGCCAATGTGTATTTGTAAAAATATCATTTAGTATCATAGCGTTATATCAAAGCAAGATTATCAAATTTTTCATAAAATTTAAATATTTCAAGAATGCATAATAATAACTATGATATGTGGCAGAAATGTTAGATTAACTGGTCCAATAATAGTTATGCAGATTTTATTTATTTATTTATTTTTGTAATAATTTAGTTGGTAGTAGGCATCTTATTATTTTAAGAGATCTAGGGATCAAAATTTATTGGCTACACTCTAATTCTATTTTTATTGATGAAATGCAATTTATTTCAACCATTTTATATTTTGTCATAAATATTTGTTTAGCACGTTTTGAAGTTTTTGATCCTACTTAAAGGTATTCGTAACCCACTGCCCTTGGTGGCATATACCATACGTTTGTGTTTTAACTTTAAAAGTTTACCTAAGAATATTCATTTTTGATGATGTATTGCTACTGAATGATTGTTTTTTAAATTTGATTATCAAGCGTTTGGGGTAAGAAATTTGAAAAAATATTTTCTGAAAAATAATTTATTTTTTAAAAAATATTTTTATTTTTTAGTATTTGGGTAGAAGCCAAAAAGTTTTTTGTTTTTTGTTTTTTTTGTTTTTTTTTTTTGGTTTGTCGTTTATTTTTCAAAAAACTAAACAAAAATACGTTACAAAATTTTTCATGTGAAATATTAATTATTTTAAATTGATAAATATAATAACTTTGAATTAAAGAAATTTAAAAAGTAAAAACTTAATCACTACAAGAAAAATGCATATAGACAACGGTTTTTCACTGTTGTCGTGTTGTGTATTCAAATACGCTTAAAGACAACATACTAACGATAACAGTTAAATAAAATCGTTGTCTTAAAAAAAAAAAAAAAAGAACGTGCAACGACAACTGTTTTATAAAACCGTTATTGTTGTAGTGTTGTGTATTCAAGTCCTATTAAAGACAACACACAAATGACAACGGTTAAATAAAATCGTTGTCTTTTAAAACATAATAATGTGCAAAGACAACGATTTTAAAAAATCGTTATCTTTGTAGTGTTGTTTAATCAAGTACACTTAAAGACAACCTATCAAAGACAACGGTTAAATAAAATCGTTGTCTTAAAAATAAAAAACGCACATAGACAACGGTTTTTAAAAACCGTTGTCGTTGTAGTGTTGTCTTTTCTCAAATTACATAAAGACAACACACTTATAACAACGGTTAAGTAAAAACTGTTGTCTTTGACAAAAGTGTTGCGTTAAAGACAACGATTTTGGACCAAACTGTAGTCTTTCATACAAAAGACAACACTTTTGTTAAAAATCGTTGTCTTTCAAGTGTTGTCTATGTGAATTTTTCTTGTATTGAATTGTTTTAATTGTTTGGGCCATAGGTTGAGTTGAGCTATTTTATTTAACTATTTTGACATGTCCCAGTCTAGCCGAATTGTAAGTGAGCGCAAATTATGCCGTGGAAACGTGTTCATCATGCTTTGTGAACACGGTTTCAAACGGCATCGTTTTTACTGAAAAAAAAATAAAATTTAGTTAATATGCTGTTAACGGCGTTTTGCATTCTATGTTCAGATTATGAATTTACATTTATTAAATTATGAATTTTCTGTTATGAGATTATGAATTTACAGTTATGTAATTATGAATTTTCTGTACATTCATAATCTCATAACAGAAAATTCATAATCTCATAACAGAAAATTCATAATTTCATAACAGAAAATTCATAATCTCATAAAAGAAAAATATTTATTAAATTACGAATTTTCTGTTATGAGATTATGAATTTACAGTTATGTAATTATGAATTTTCTGTACATTCATAATCTCATAACAGAAAATTCATAATTTCATAACAGAAAATTCATAATCTCATAAAAAAAAATTCATAATTCCATAACTGCACATTCATAAATTCATGCTTGCACATTCATAATTTATGAGTGTTGAAGAAACTTGCGCGAAGAAGAAGTGAAACCGTAAAATGTGAATATGAAGAAGAAAAGTCACGCTCTTAAAAAAAATAATAATGAAAGATAACAGTGCTCGTAAGTACCGTAACCATTTGGGACCGTGTTCACCATGGATGGTTAACACGGTTTCATGGCATAATGATTGTAAGTGAGCTAGTGTAGGCTGTGTAGTCCAATCCAAATATTAATCCATAAGATAAAGGATTGTTCGTTGACTAGAATGTGTACTCTTCTTTGTTGATTTAATTATTTCTTAGATAGAGAAAGACTGTAAATTTTAAAAAATGATCTATGAAATTCCATTTTCTAAATTACCATATAAACCCTAAATAAATTCCTTTTAAACTTGTGATGTGGTTGTTCAATTATTCATGAAGAGTATCTAATAAATGTAAAATGTATTATTGTTACGTCAGGTAATAAATTTAAGAGAGAACTGAAAAATAACATTTCAATATCATAATCAACCCCATTTAATACAAAATTTGACTATAAATAATTTTTTTTTTTTGAACATATTAATAAATTAAGGATAAAAAAGCAATATGCTTAACGTAATTTCTAATTAATTTTTTTTTCCTATACCTAATCAACCGTAAATAAAAAAGAGGGGAATATATAATTTATTTATACCAGAAATAACCCAGCATTATATTTATTATTTCAATTGTGGAATCACATGATCAGCATGTTAATTATATTATAAACTATATATCTAATTAACACACAAATATATCTAACTCTCACATGGATGATGCCTTTTGCTTTTGTCCAATTGAGAATAATGATAGATTGATAGTTGAATACTCAAAAAAGAGTGAATAAGTACGTGAAACATTATTCTCGTACAGTTATGTTAATACCCGACTTCTTGGGTAAGTTTATCGCACGAGATTTTTTTAGTGCGATTGATTTCTTTTGTATGATTTGTGGGTTACTACACAGGAGTAAGATTTACCTAATAAACATTTTCAAGCAGTGACGTCACCAAAAACAAAAAAAAAAAAAAAAAAAACAAAAAACAAAAAAAACAAAAACAAAAAACAAAAAACAAAAAGAAGGAATATGATAACTCTTGTACATTGATATAACATTTCAAATTTATTTTATATTACATTTCAAATTTATATAGCTGTTATATGTTGTTTAACACGTGAATAACAAAGTAAAATATTGATTGCATTCTAAGTCTATGTCATTTAAAGATTCTTGATTCAATTATGAATCCTAATAGTTGTTACTTTTTGTGGGGCAACAATTTAGTAATATGTATGCTAAATTTTACTTGATATGTACGTATATTTTAGAGTTCGTACCAAAATGATTCTTTGACCATTATTCTTCCAAAGAAAGAGTCTCAACTCGATAGAACATTTGGAAGGATGTAAAATAATGTTAACTCAACTGAACATGAACCACAGAAGCTAGACTTGTGCTCACAAGCACAAGAAACCCCCCTCACTTTGAGAGGTTGCTCCCACACTACCGCTGGTAAGACTTGATCCCTGGTCATTCTTCTAAAGTTTCACCTTTGTGACCAGTTGAGCTGCCATGCGGGTATTCTTTAACCATTATGCTAGTACTTCTTTTAGTTTTAAATTTTCAATTCGATCAAAACACATCTATTAAAAATATTATTTAAAAGAAGAAATATTTTTGTCAAATCCAAGTACATGACACCTACCTAAATTGACCATAAAATTCATCTATTATTACATTTTCAACACACTAGCGCCAATAAGGTTCCCAATACATACTCATCTATAAATAGTTGGTGGTGGACAGGGGCGGACCTACAGTGAGGGCAATGGGGTCAGCTGCCTCCACTCACCCCACCCCCCACCCCTTATATAATCATTGTATGTATATTTGAATATATAGTACAAATTTTAGTATAAGTATTAAAAAATAGAGAAATGTTAACAAAATGTGGCTTAGCCTAGTTCGCTAAGTGCGTGGTTGGCTTAAACGTAGGCTAGGGTTTGAATCCCCTTCTATTTGCTTTCTACATTTCATTTTCTTATTATTTCACTATTAACACTACCTTTTCTCATTATTTCACATTTTCATTATTTTATTAAATTGATTATGTTCATATTTTGTTATGAATATTTTTATAATGTTTTGATGTGTTTTATAATTTTATTATATCCAACATTATTTATGGCTATACTTTTTAAGTGTTTCATTTTTTTTTCTAATTATCAATTTTGCTTTAATATTTTGCCCCGGCTGAAAAAAATTCCTGGGTCCGCCATTGGTGGTGGAAAAACAAAAAAAAAATAATAAATAAAAATTTCAAGTTCATGCATAATGTCTTCAGTTTCTTCTAGTTCATTAAGGCAGCGATATTATTATTGTGATTTCATCCCAATTCTTTAATGTCAATGTGGTACTTGAGTTGTGTTGGTACCAGTTGGGTGGAAAAAAGTCTGGGGTGGGATGAATAGACTTTTCAATCTATTTCAAATTTAACTCTTAGAAAGCTAGATAATAAGAATAGATCGAATAAATATGAAAAATATTCAATACTTAAACTTATAAAACAATCTAACATAAATTGTACGCTATGGAATAAATGCATGTAAAGTAATGTGCTTAGAAACTCATAAGATTGAGAATATTAAAAGCATGCAATACATAAAATACTTACATAAAGTAAAGAGAGAGAATTTTTATAGTGATTTGAGGTGTATGTAATCCTTCTACTCCATTCTACTTCTATCTTCCAGGAGGAATTCGCTATCTCAATCACCTAGATATAAGATACAATGTATGAACTCTACTGCTTTGGTCACCAAGCCAGCATGATCTCCAGATCTTTTAGATAATGTGCTTTGCACACAAAGTCAACACTTATCACTAGCTAGATCACACAGATGAAATGCTTTGATCACAAAACCAACACGTATCTCAGGATTTCACAACTTTTTGTTACTTTCCTCTATCTACCATCGGTGGAGAAGAGAAAATGAATGTCTTCTATCTCTCCAACTAAGAAACTTTCAACTTGCAGTCTCTTTTTTACTAGATAAATCACTAAAGATTTATGAGAATGAATAAGAACTTAAAGATGTGTTTATGCTCTCGTATTTCTCGTTGTAGTACTTGACTCTCTACTTATTGGTGTATTTGTCTTCAAGTCTTCATGCCCTTTTATTGTTGATCAAATCTATCTGTTGGTGTGAGATAGTGTTTGGTGTCGGCTGGGTTGGCCGAGTTCAGTCCCTGCTCGATTCGAGACGTGGCGATGTGTCTTACCATGGAGAGATGTGGTTAAATGGTCAATGTCCACCTACTTATCATTAATTGGTTTTGAGTAGGATATAGTAACTAGGTACTACAGAACTCTGTGATTAAGTGTGCTTGATTTTTGATAATCCTGGGATGGGTGACCCCTGGGAAGTGAGCATACTCTTTGGTCTATGAGTCATGCTTTATTGACTTTTAAAACCCTTGAAAATGCAATAGATGATGAAGGTTATGCTTGCCATGCTTGTACTGCCAAAATAAGAGCAAGGGTTCTTTGGTCTTTTCCCTCTCTTTTCTGTTATAACCGTTGGGTTATTTTCCTTCTTTGGTTTGTAATAAATAGAGGAGACCACTTTCTCCTCTGTTAACTTTTCCTTTCTTCTTCAATGAAACAGTGCAGTAATCTTCTCCTAGCTAACATGTTTCAGCTTCTCTGCATCCTACTAGAACTTAGCTCATGATTCCAATATGGTATCAGAGCTTCGCCGTACGTACGCCGCTGTGGTCACTATGAATCCTGATGCCACTGAGCGAAACGTCGCCGGAGATGGAACAGCTTCAACACCGGCCAATCAGATCCCCATTAATCAAAGCTCTGTGCATCGGATCGAGGAGTTCGATGACCCGATGTATCTCCACATTACGGAGAATCCAAATCTGGTGTTGGTGTCACCACCACTGTCTGAACACAACTACGCCTCATGGAGCAGATCCATGAAGATAGCCCTAGGTGTGAAGAACAAATTCGGATTTGTGAATGGAGCGATTGCTAAGCTTAATACAGCAGATCCTAAGTATCATGTGTGGAAAATGTGCAATGACATTGTATGTTCCTGGATCCTGAAGTCCTTGAACTCAACGATTGCAGAAAGTGTTTTGTATTTTGAATTTGCAGAGGATATATGGAATGCTCTCATGAAACGGTATTCTCAGGTTGATCCACACCGAATTGCAGAAGTTCAGAATGAGATTTTTAAGTCTATGCAAGGTAATATGTCAATAAATGAATATTTCACTAGATGTAATGCCTTGTGGGAGCAATTGAATGCTATGAGACCTCTGCCAGTATGTGAGTGTGTACCTAGGTGCTCATGCACTCTCATGACTAAGATCCAGAAGGAAAGACAAGATGATCTGGTCATCAGGTTCCTTGAAGGCCTTAATGAAGAGTTTGAAGCTATAAAATCCGGAGTGTTAGTAATGGATCCGGTTCCTACTATGGAGAAGGTCTTAAACATGGCTTTAAAACTGGAAAGGAAGATCAACAATTCTGTTAACCACAAGAATAATGAAGTTATACAATCCAATGCTGTTCAACATGATCCTAATCAATATGTTGATGAACAGAATGCTGTGGCAATGGTGATTGGAAACAATAAGAGAAGATTCAGTAACAATGGAGGAAAGAGTGTGCCTAAATGCACATATTGTGGGATGAATGGCCACACAATAGACAAATGTTATAAGAAACATGGGTACCCCCCTGGCTGGATCCCTGGCTATAAGTCCAAAAACAGGCAGAACCAAGAGGTGCAATATAATCATGCTACATCTGTTAATCAAGTTGGTGATGTAGGCTTGAGTACTGAGCAGTTCCAGAAGCTGCTGACCTTACTGCAAAGCTAGAATCAAAGCAACCAGGCTTCAACAAGTGCTGCAGTTACAGTAAACAAAGCTGGATTGAGGCCAAATCTCAATAACCTGTCAGAAGAGTTAAAAGAAGGCAAGTCTATCTCTCACTTACATATTAATGCCACTTTGAACTGTAACACTATGTGGATCATAGACTCAGGAGCAACTGACCACATTACTTGCTCCTTAGAGTACTTTAAAACCTGCAGTAGGGTCCATGATATATCTGTTAAATTGCCTAATGGAGAAGCCATACAAGTTGCACATATAGGAGAAGTTAGTTTGCATTCAAAATTGGTGTTGAAAAATGTTTTGCATATTCCAAACTTTGCCTTCAATATCATATCTGCCAGCAAGTTGACTAAGGAAAATAATTGTTCATTGGTTATAAACAATCATCTGTGTGATATTCAGGGTCCCCATGGGACAATAGTTGGTTTTGCTGAGCAAAAAGGAGGCCTATATCTGCTTAGTGAACCTCCTGCTAAAGAAGGGACAAGGAATGAAGATTCTAATAAACAATGTAATAGTCTGACTTTACAAGTATGACATGATAGATTGGGACATTACCCTGTAAGAAAAATTCATTTTCTGAATGGAATAAAACATCTTCAGGACCATAAATCTTCTGGTTTTGTTTGTGATATATGTCATTTTGCAAAACATAAAAGATCTGCATTTCCCATTAGCACATCCAGAGCAGCAAAGTGTTTTGATTTAATCCACATGGATGTGTGGGGACCTTTTCATGTGGCCTCTTTAAAAGGGGAACACTATTTTCTAACAATTGTAGATGATCATAGCAGGTTTACATGGCTCCACTTGATGAGGCATAAATCAGAAGTTAAGGGCCTATTTCAAAATTTCTATCACTATGTTGAGACACAGTTCCTTTCTAGAATTAAAGTGGTCAGGTCAGATAATGGTACTGAATTCTTCATGAATGCTTTTTTTAATGAGAAGGGGATTGTTCATCAGAAGTCATGTGTAAACACCCCCCAGCAGAATGGGGTTGCAGAGAGAAAGCATCAACATATCCTGAATGTAGCTAGGGCCCTTAGATTTCAGTCAGAGGTACCTATGCAATTTTGGGGGCAGTGTGTGTTGCATGCTTCTTACATCATTAATAGGCTGCCAACTCCCTCAAACAATGGGAGGTCTCCCTATGGAATTTTATACAAAACAGAAATGGATTATGGGCATTTTAGATCCTTTGGATGCTTATGTTTTGGTTCCACTGCCACACAAGGAAGAAACAAAATGATGCCAAGAGCTAGGAAATGTGTTTTTTTGGGGTTCCCTGCAAATGTGAAGGGTTATATCTTGTATGATGTTAAGAACAAATCCATTTTTATTTCCAGAGATGTGCAATTCTATGAATCTATCTACCCATTCAAACAGGTTTTAGAGGCCAGACCTATTTCTAATTTGTTTAATCCTTCACTGCCACTAATTCCTGTTGATGCAGATGAAGCTCCATTAAGGACCACAAGGAGTTGTGACACTAATGATAGTTCCAGAATTTCACCACAAAATCTGAGAGATCAGCAGACAAGTGGTGTAAATAATAGTGAGGCAGGTCTTGAGCAATACAGTGATGAGCCTGATAATGACACAACTAATGACTCTATTGCTCAGGCAGATACAGAAGATGCAGATAATCAATCTCTTGACAGATCACCACCTAGAAGATCTGGAAGAGTTAGAAGCTTACCTACTAGGCTGCATGATTATTATTGTCAGTCAATGGTAAGAACTTCTCCACATTCCTTGGATAAAGTGATGTCTTATGATGCTTTACCTCCCAGATATAAAGTGTGTGCTTCTTCCATAGCCTCTACACATGAGCCACAGTCCTATGTTGAAGCAGTTAAGAGTGAGCCTTGGAGGAAAGCAATGCAACTTGAAATTGAGGCTTTGGTTGCCAATAAGACTTGGCAACTAACAGATTTACCAGCTGATAAAAGTCCCATTGGCTGCAAGTGGGTTTTTAAGGTGAATCACAAGGCAGATGGCTCCATAGAGAGATACAAGGCCAGATTGGTAGCCAAGGGTTACACCCAACAGCTAGGGGTTGACTACAATGAGACCTTTTCACCTGTGGCAAGGATGACTACAATCAGGGCTTTCTTAGCAGTGGCTATTGCAAAAGGTTGGGATGTGCAACAACTTGACATTAATAATGATTTCTTGCATGGGGATTTAGAGGAGGAAGTCTATATGTATCTACCTCCTGGCTTTCATGGTGAAAAACCCAATCAGGTTTGCAGATTACTGAGGTCTCTATATGGATTGAAACAGGCTAGTAGACAGTGGAATGCCAAATTGACTATAGCTTTGCAGAAACATGGTTTTCAGCAATCAAATGCAGACCCTTCACTCTTTATAAAGAGGTCAGAAACATCTTTTACTGCCCTTCTCATATATGTGGATGATATTTTAGTGGCTGGAACCAATTCACATCATATTCTGCAGCTAAAACAGTACCTTGATAAAGCTTTTAGAATCAAGGATCTTGGCTCTATGAACTTCTTCCTAGGAATTGAAGCTTTCAGAACCTTGGAAGGCATTTATTTATGCCAAAGGAAATACACCTTGGACATTCTGAGAGAGAGTGGTTTCCTAGAGTCCAAGCCTGCAAAGACACCAGCTGTACCAGGATTGAAACTTAATAACACAGATGGGGACTTAATTGACAGCCCAGAAACATACAGAAGGATGGTTGGGAAACTACTATACTTGACTAATACTAGGCCTGGCATTTCACATGCTGTCCAACAATTAAGTCAGTTTGTTGATCAACCTAGAAGCACTCATCTCATTGCTGCTCATAGGGTGCTTAGATATATCAAAGGTTCTCCTGGTAAGGGATTGTTCTACAAAGCAAATTCTGAGGTTAAACTACATGGATTCTCAGATTCTGATTGGGCAAACTGCACAGAAACTAGAAAGTCTGTTACTGGCTATTGCATTTATCTTGGTGATGATTTGATATCATGGAAAACTAAGAAGCAAGCTACTGTGTCTAGATCTTCATCTGAAGCTGAGTACAGGGCTCTAGCCTCCACTGTTTGTGAAATACAATGGCTTCATTACCTGCTAGCTGATCTAAGTATACAACTTACAGTCCCAACTCCTTTATTTTGTGATAATCAGTCAGCAATTGCTATTGGAGAGAATTATGTTTTCCATGAAAGAACCAAGCACATAGAGATAGACTGCCATGTTGTCAAGCAGAAGGTGCATGAAGGCTTGATCAAGTTGATGCCTATTTCCTCCCAAGGACAGGTTGCAGATGGCTTCCCCAAGTCCTTGCCCAAACCAGCATTTGATTCTTTTCATTCTAAGTTGGGCATGAAAGACATTCATGCTCCAACTTAAGGGGGGGGGGGGGGGTGATGAAGGTTATGCTTGCCATACTTGTACTGCCAAAATAAGAGCAAGGGTTCTTTGGTCTTTTCCCTCTCTTTTCTGTTATAACCGCTGGGTTATTTTTCTTCTTTGGTTTGTAATAAATAGAGGAGACCACTTTCTCCTCTGTTAACTTTTCCTTTCTTCTTCAATGAAACAGTGCAGTAGTCTTCTCCTAGCTAACATGTTTCAGCTTCTCTGCATCCTACTAGAACTTAGCTCATGATTCCAATAATAGAGTTCCAATCATGAGAAGTCTTTTACTTTGACTTTGCTCTTTAGAAAATTCTACAGCTCAAAAACCTTAGTCCTTAGAAACTCTACTAAAAAACTTTGTAAACTTTGTTGCTCAATTTAGTTTTTCAAAAACTCTTCACCTTGAAACGTTGCTTCTCATGGATAATTCGAAAATTCTTCTCCATGTGAGTTAATTTAAAAACTCTTCTCCTTGTGAGTTAATTCGGAAAACTCTATTGTTTGTTCTTGAAAATTTTGCTGCTTATAGAGTCTTCATAAATTCTTCTCCTTATTTAGTTTTTGAATTTTAACTTCTCGAAATCCTTACTGCTTATTAATTTTTCAAAAACTCTTCTCCTCATATCAACTTTCCGAAAATTCTTCTTTTCCAAACACTTTAATTTACTACTTCCAAATTCTTTTAAGAACTTTGTTGTTTCTTAAATATTCTAGAACTATGCTGCTTCTAGAAAACCTTTACTAGTCATAAGATCTTCTTTCTTGACACTTAGATAATTTTGAGCAAACAATTTACAAAACAAATTTGGGGATACAAATTTTCAAATTAGGAATTCATTTTTAACTCATCAAAATATATAACACATATTCCTGACAAGTTGTGTAACACCCCGTGTTACGGCCTTTGATCCCGAATTAATTATTTTATTAATTCCGTTAATAATAATTAAGTAGGATTTAATTTGGTTAGGATTCCCTTTAATTAATTAATATGGTCCACCACGGATCGTGGACCCTTGCCTAAACTAGAGTCTTAAGCCTTTTAGGAATAAAGAGAGTAAAACCTTTTACTAGTCAGATTCTAATTAGGAATCCTTGACTTATATACCTGTTAGGAATAAAAAGTAGGTCTTTACTGTTCAGATTCTGATTAGGATTCCTAACTCTATAAATAGGGATTAGAAAGCAATTAGAACCCTTACCACCCATAGTTATATTACACGAAATTATTCCCTGGAGATTCCCCACCACCAAGCCTAGGGAGATCAATCGGATGGAAATCTTAGAGAAGAACCTTAATAGCTAATGGAGGATTAATTAAGGCTAAAGAGGTAACCCATGTCTCAACAAAACCTATTTTCCTTGCTATATCTTATTCATGGGCTCCTTTGATATATGATTCTGTGCTTGAGTCTTGATAGAACTTTGCCTAGGGTTTATATTGTGTTTATGTGATAATCTTGATGTTTATGTAGTAATCTTGATGTTCTTGATACTATGATTAATTATATGAACGATCTTGTATTTTGATTATGTCTAGAGCCCTAGGGTTATAACTTGGATTTCGTATTATGATATTCTTGGTATGCTTGGGTGGGGTTATGCAT